GAATTATATTGATTCTATTAAGGACGGATCGTATTGATAATCAAGAAAACTTCGGAGAAGAAGCAAGCTTCAACGCTCTCAAAAACAGCAGAGTCATCATTGTGAGGAGGGTAAAGAGCATACAATGCAAAGTCGCATTTTATTCCCTTGTTTAGTTGTGGCATGTCCCCCGTTCAAGTGGATCAAAAACCGGCTTTTGTTCTTCCCTTTGTCGGTCCTTAACAGATCCTCGAGCCTCCTTTGTGCCACCTTCCTCATAGAAGCCGTTAGGTTGACCCTGAATGAGCGATGAGAAGAAAGAGGATGGGAAACTCTATATTTATGAAAAGCTCATCTCAATGTTTTTACATAATTCATTGAGAAAATATTGTATGAAATAAACTTCTTGTGTAACTTCAGATGTAGTGTGAACAACTTGTAAGATATTCTATTTTTATTATTAAACATCTTAACTGAATTTTCAGAGCATGTTTGGTCGTGAAGAACTAGAAGGGATTGGATTCAGATAAATTAGGGTGAATTATACCGTATCATAAAAATGTACAAGTACCAGAAGAATTTTAAAAAAAAAAAATTATAATAATTTTTTTTTCTTACTTATTAAGTGATATCACCCATGGGTGATTTTATCACTTAAAAGTAAATATTTAATTTATAAGTAATTTATATACTTATAAACTTTTTACTTATCAGCGTATTTACCCTAAGTTCAAAAGGCTTCTTCTTATATATTTATTTATATGTTGATTTATATTTATTCGCTTTGCTCACAGAGCTCCATACCGAAATCATGTGCCAATGCAATCAGGAACTCCATAAGATTACATTCTTTGATAAAGAAAATAATTGCTTATATATGCTTATTAAAAGACTGACCGGTCTATTAGTTGATTGACTATTCCTTAATATGGAATGGGTGAAGTGTCAAATAATTTGGCAATTCATGAATTTCTCAATTCGATTAATCAAGATAATACGTGGAGTAACTCTTGATATATCAGTAAGCAAGATGTGTAGGTGGATCCACTCATCCCGTTCCCATTGAAATGGGATTCACACAAGGAAAAGCACCGAACGTCCCTCTTGTATTTTGATTTATATTATAGAAAATTTGGGTGCAGATGATTAAATAAACCAAAATTGTACCGTGACTGCACATCAAGTTTTCATTGAAATAGGATCCATACAAAGAAAAGCACTTGTCATTCGTTGGTTATTAGCGACCTCCTGAAAACGTCCTAGTCTAAAATATTTCTTTGTTCCGCCCAATCATTAATAACTTGATTATTTTTATATAATAGTATATAGAAAGAACGCTTGTGAAGAGTCCTATTAAAATCAATGAATATAAGCCAGCTTGGTGCAGCATTGTACTATTTCACCTTGCAACACGATATTTATATTGCTCTTCCACGACCCCGTTTTCAAGATTTCACTTTGACTTTATTCTAACACATTAGATTCAATAGTAGGCTTATTAATTCTGGTGCCTCAATAACGGAAATGGAAGTGCAAACAATCCACTTCGTTTCCGCTCAAAATATAAATAAGATTAATTTTAGAAAACTTTAGCTAAACT